GCTGCATGGGTTGTTTGTGTCATTAATTTTTAATGTGCTAGCTCAAAAGGTTACAGTCCTAAGGAAGACATATTACCCTACCTGGACACTATATATTCTGACTCCGACCTAACTAGTCTTTGAGCTTACTCCTTAATGCCAAGTGATTAACGGAAAATCAGCAAATACCAATTATAAAGTGTTTTGTTTGACCCGGCCGGGGTCAGAAACCCACGATATCCGGCATTTTAATTCATTTATTATATTTATTTAATTGTACAATGACTTATTTGAAGGGTGCATATTGTAAGAATTCATCTTATATAAATCCTCTCTTAAACATACGCATCCACCCAAAGAAATGACTTCTGCAATCATATATTGAAATAAGAAGATGTGGTATGCGTGCCAATAATACTCTCCATCCATGTAACAATGTGTAAAAATACAGTTATACGTCTAAGTACGGCCTTTAACACGGAGCCTTGGCTCACACCGAACAGCAAGCTATAAAGGACCCAAAAATGACTAGTGTAAAACAATTCAAACAGGAAAACCACCGGTCTAATCAATATAAAAAACGAGAAAAGAGAAACACTTATGAACCACGAGAACCACTGAACAACAGGTTCCCGACATAGGACAGGTGCAAACAAATGCAGCCGGTTTAAACGTTTTAACAGGCGCAAACCTTCACCCTAACCTGAAATGATATACTCTTATTAGTAACTTGCATGTCCAAGAGAACTGTTCATTCTGATAAACAAATTATAAAAACACAAAAACAAAACGAGAAAATACAAATGCAAAATAAGCACATACTATGAATTTTACCATATATATTTTACAAATCATTCGACAACGACAGGAAAGAGAAACCATTTTTTGTCATCGCCAGTATCCACATCATAATTACAGATAAAACATCGGGAAAGAAACAACAGTTTATTTAGTACTCAGTTCTCACTTTTCTTTATCATGTTTCCCAGGCTTCCAAAATGAAATGAATGGATACATTATGTTTAACTCAAGTATTCTCCTTCTTCTTCTTCTTTTTTTTTTGACTTTATTCTCATACACACTTGTCCGGGCCGACACTTATTTAATTTTTAGACATTGCCTTATGATATTTGGCATACAGTGTATAACCGTGAGATATCATAACAGTCTAATATCTTTATGACCTTTACCGTTGATCTCAAGGTCAAAATAATTTATGTTTTGTTCTTGACCTTTGAATTTCATGGTTAAATGATTGAGTTTTATATGTCCAACCCTAAAACCATATATATTCTTACAGGCTATGTCAATTTCTTTTTACTGCACCATAGGATTAATTCCTTTAGGTCAAATCCACGTTATATAATGTATTGTTAATTATCTCCAAAATGGTTTATATCCCCACCCATTGCCTTGATAAGTCATTTCTAATTCACCACAGGTTTTGTACCCAGAGGACAGGTAACTATCTAACGCCAATTTTAATTTCACATGCAGCAAAAAGTGTGCATTTGTGTTAAACTACTACAAATGTGGGCATTTGTGCTTTAAAATGTTTTAAATATATATTTCAAAAGTTAAACATTTCAAAACATTGCCATAAAATAAAACCAATTTATTTTTATGGTCATTGAAATTGTTAAATATTAAGTGTCAGTATACTCAGATTAAAGTAAGTACATTTTCCTCTTTCTTTTTTTCTGGCTCTTTTTTCATATTTTCTCCTCCATCTGTCTGATTATCATCTCCAGTAAACATGCTATCACAACCTGTACATATGTGCTGTCCATCTTTCTTTTCAACATAATCTTTTGAAATTTTCTGACAAAGTTGACATTTCTACTGTTGTTTTTCAGCTTTAACAGAACTACCCATACTTGTTGATAACGTTTTTGATTTTTCTGAACTGCCCTTGCCTGTTGATAAAGTTTTAGATTTTTCTAAACTGCCCTTGCCTGTAGGCAAAGTTTTTGATTTTACTGAACTACCCATACTTGTTGATATAGTTTTTGACTTTGGCAAATTTTCATTTTTATCTAATACCGCAGTACATATCAGGTCGCAATAAATTGTTGACAGGCTTTTAGTTATATCTGAGAGCTAATTTTTATTGTGTATTTCAAATGTTTGATCACTATGTATGGTGATACCTTGACTATCTTCAACATGGTGAACAAACTTGAGTTTTTCTTTTTCTAGTTTTGTCTGTTGCGGAAAATATCTGTCCTTGTTTGAACATCATTTATTGATAGGTTTGAAACTCTTTCATGTTTCTTTGGAATGTCGGTGTCAGTATTTGAGAAACTGGATTTTTTTATGTGTTGCAGCAAATATGTTTGCAATCGATTTATCAAACTACAAGTTAATTAAATAGGAAAACTTTTGTTTTATAAGATTGTGTGGAAGTAAAAGCTATATTATTAAAAAACAATAGGAACAAACAGTTAATTTTAAAATCAATAAACCAGCAATAGACCTATACATCGTCTCATATGTTATTATTATGTTTTGGATTGCATTCGAACTTCGAACTCACCATAAAAGCAAACAACAGATACAGTTACGTCTGTCTCATATCTTGACTTTCATCTAAAACTTAACAATGAGGGTCGATTGAAAAAAAACATTAATGACAAAAGTGATGATTTTAGCTTTCCAATTGAGAAAGTTCCATTTCTTTGTAGCAACATTCCAGCAGCGAACAAGAAAAAGTAAAATAACAAAAATACTGAACTCCAAGGAAAATTCAAAACGGAAAGTCCCTTATCAAATGGCAAAATTAAAAGCTCAAACACATTAAACGAATGAAAAACAACTGTCTTAATCCTGACTCTGTACAGGCATTTCCTTATGTAGAAAATGGTGGATTAAACCTGGTTTTATAGCTAGCTTAACCTCTCACTTGTATGTCAGTCGCATAAAATTCCATTATATTGACAACAATATGTGAACAAAACAAATAGATAGCTATAAAACAAAGAGTTCCAAGAGATGAAGTTGAAATCATTCTTTCAAACATTTTACGAACGCCATCACGAATGTTTGACCGTTATAGAATACCTGTTTTACAGATAACGACGGATATGTTCCAATTATAGTAACCCCTATCCCGTCCTCTTTTCCTCGAATGTGACCTACCGACTTATCACCGAGTTTGTACATACATGAGCAACACGATAGGTGACACATGTGGAGCAGGATCTACGTATTCTTCAGAAGCAGCTTAGATCACCCCCGGTTGTCGATGTAGTTCGTGTTGCTCAGTCTTTAGTTTTCTATGTTATGTTTTGTATACTGTTGTTTGTCTTATGGTCTTTTTCGTTTTTTTTACATGGCTTTGTCAGTTTTTTTTCGACTTATGCTTTTGATTGTCCCTTTGGTATCGTTTGCCTCTCTTCATGGGAATACTATGATAATTTATAAAATCAAACGTGCTCTTAATGTATATTAATGATGACTGCATCTTAAGTCTTAATTTATAGCAGTAAACATACCTAAAATAGAACAACGATCACATAACAATCGTTTTAATAGACTGCAGCTGATGAAAATCTGGCGCACAATGTGGTAATATACGAAAGGACACAGAATATCTATCCATATATTATTTCCTACTCCTTCTTAGGGATTTGTTTGCCATTTTTATTACTAAACACAAAGAGTTTTTTCAAAGAAAAAAAAAAAAAAGAGATGGTACATGTTAACCGTCCCACTCCGCTGGCAAAATAGACATAAGATCTGTTATGATCTTGGTAGCTCACAATATAAATTTGTAAATCCCTGTACGTGTAAATGCTAGAAAAAATTTGTCTGATCCTGCTTAATGGTGAAAGATATTATCCGGCAGACAATAATACATTTACAAAACAATTTTTAACATGATGATAAATCATGGCTTCTCTTTTTGCATTGATGATCATTAAAACAAAATCAATATTTCGCTTCCCTAATTTTTCGCTTGAACCATACCTATATATGAAGGTTACTTACTCCATAATCCCTTATTATGTGCATAGCAAATATGTTTAATTATTTTTGTATGTGTGTGCATGCATGTTTCTCTAATTCTTAGCCGATTTATCCTTTTTCCTGACCTGTTGATTATTTCTTTGTAACCAACGTGTGGTTCGTTTGATCTCAGTTCTTTATTGGTAAAAATTCGTGAAACGTTCTTGCTTTCCTCTATATTTCCTGTTGTGACGTCACAAAAAAAGACGACCAAGTCTGATGACGTTACATGCAAAGAACACATCTTTTTTGCAGATCATTGGAAAAGAAGGATAAGATTTGTCTGCAAATCGTGTAAAAGTCACCAGAGAAACAGATTCAACCACCAAATCTCGTACAATTCGATATTTCTTAACTCTCGACAGTTTCAAAATTAAAAATGTAACTTTCTCGAGTGTAGAAATATCGTACTGCACTCGATGCAGTGGTAGAGTCTATATGTATAGTGTACATGTATGCATGTATATATGTACGTGCAAGTGTGCATATATGTACGTACAAGTGTGCATATATATACGTGTATGCGTGCGTTTATGTACGTGTTGTCATGCTTTAAAGTTGTTTGAATAAAAATCAGAAAATATCCAACGAAATTTTTTTTCATTGCATTAAAAAAATATTGAAATACTTGTTTTTATTTCTGGAAGATTTGGCTTAATACGTTAAAGAATATTAAGAATAAAACAATGATTTTTTCATGAACTGAAAGTTAAAAGAAATCATTGCAAATAACGTGAATAATGCGGAATATAACAACTGTGGTAATTCCATTGTTTGCTGTCTTATCTGGATATAATTTAGCTGATAAATCCTAAGAAAGTCATTCATTGCTGCTGATGTGGATGTGAATATCAAAGTGAAGAGCTACCAGGGAGTGTGGTCTGTTGAAGACAGTTTTCAGACTGCGAAAAACAAAGGGATTTTTTTTTTTTCATATGAATTACATATACAAAAGAACGAAATGAAATTTTCTTCTTGTACAGATAATCATCTGCTCTAGATATATTGTATTTCTTTTGATTCTGTGTAAGTGTTGTACGATTTATTGTATACATTTAAAACAATATTATCAATTGGTTACATTTTGTCTAGTAAAATACCAGAACTAAAAATATTGATAGTTTTTCGTATATATAATTGCACGTCTGACCTCATTTCGCAAGATTAAGATCAGTTATTACCAGTTGTGAATGTTTTATTTTTTGACATCACTCAATGTGCTCATCATTCCCCTTGTGTTGTCTTGATGAGACGACTTTGCTCTAGTGGATATATTTCCTCCCTAAAATAAAAAAGAAGTTCTCAATTATTTTTGCATTTATTAAACATCAGCGTAAAGTTTGTCTTTTGAAAAGGTTAAATAAAACATTGCAATTTAAGATATTCAGACGTTTTGGTACTACATGAAAAAGGATAATAAACATTTATAAAAATGTAGGGAAGTACATCACATTACACTGTACAAATATCCAGACATGGTACTGGTCCAAAATTTTGTTGTGTTTATAAAGGCTGTACATTTTAAGAATAGGTATGTTACGCTACAAATAGACAATTATTTAAAAACCGCAAGCGCTGTAGAACAATTTATTCCTAATGAAATATACAAAATATCTCGTTATAAATGATGTATCCTGTGTTTGATTAAGGTTCGGATTCAATTGATATCTGTGTTCATTTAAATATCTATACGAGCAGAAAGGGTAAGGTCAAGAATGATGTAATACAATTGTAATGGATGATATATAACTACTTTATTTCGAAAGAAAATTAAAAAAAAACATAATCGTATAAACGGTTTATCTTGTATTAAATCTAAGATTAGGTTCACAGACATCGTTGTACTTTAAAAGATAACCTGTGTATTAAGAATATTCAAGCGTAATTCTTGGGAAACTAAACTTCGAAGTTTTCGATTTGATTTTAAATGTTATATATATATATATATTATAATTAAGGAGATGTGGTTTGATTGCCAATGAGACAACTATCCACTTCGATCACTTCCCAACTGGTTTTTTTCAAGTTTGCTCTTATGTTTGAATTCATATAACGCTTTTTTCATGTTAGGGGAAGGGTTCACCAACAGTTATCAATAGTAATCAATATTCAATTGTATATGGCTTTTAATGTATAGATTGCTTAAGCCGTATTTAGCGCAACATTTTGGAATTTTTGGTTTTTGAAGCCCTACAACTTCATGTTCTGCTAACTTTGATATTTCGAGCGCTACTGAAGAGTCTTATCTATACGAAACACGCGTCTTGCGTACAAATCCATGCATATTTGTTGAGTTTTTACAGAAGCATAAAAATTTTTCGGAATAAACCATGTTCCCCTTATATAATGTCAATCATTGGATTAATTAGTATTCAGTAAAAATCGATAATTCTCTTTTATTGTGATATAATTTTATTGAATTATATCGAAACTTAGTTTTCTTTTGCTTATTTTTTTATAATTTAAAGGGTTTAACCTGAAGGATAGCATAATGAAAAAAAGTCATTTGGTGTATAGATCCACAATAAGAAGTCCCTGTATCATATATGTTTGGAAAGCAGAAAGCAAAGACAAAGGATAAGTATTGTTGTTCTTCGTCTGAAAGTTTCATTTAGGTCTTTGATAACAATAAAGGTACTAATTTTACTGCATAATATGCGTCTGTCGGCAAATAATTTCTCTTTGATGATGGTCAAGGGCAGCATATTTGAAAATCCAAAATCGTATATAAACATATAAAGGCCGTACTTTGATCTATACTTGTTAACTTTTTATACATTGTGACTTGGATGAAAAGTTGTTTCATTGGCACTCAGACCACATCTTCTTATTTATATTGAAGAGCTGATCATACCATAAGTATAGCCAAGTTTGGACAATGAGCTTTGCATGAGAGGGATACATTCCTTAACTAGAATTGATTTATAAAATTTTATAACAGCAAATTCCAACTTAATATGCTTCAATAGCTCACACCTCACTTTTTATATTTAAAAATACCATAGCACCCTTTTATTTACTTATTTCTTACTTAAGTGCTGCTTAAAGTTAGGTCCTTAACTTGAAATAAATAGAAAAGAACTGACCATAACACTCTTTTACATATGAAATATTCTTTGACTTCGGGCATGCTATTGAAAGATGTCACACATTGGAATGCATATGCTCCCATATTCTTGAAGAAAATCCACTCTCCACTTTTTAAGTCTGGTAGTTTAATGTTTTCAATAATTAAATCTACAGCATCGCAAGTCGGTCCCCATATTGTGCTATCATACACTTTTTCGTCGTCGTCCTGAAAAGCAATAAATCTATATGCATATCCACATGCCCGCTATTCCTCGGTTAATACTTTCTCCAAAAAGACACAACACATCCCTAACTATTCGAAAAAGACTACAATTTATACAGACATTTTCAAATTTGTGTAAAACATTTTAACCTCAAGACTGCAGTCAAAGGTTAAATAATGTAGATAGTTAACTATGCCCGACATCTGGTATAAAACTTTAAATGATGTGCATTTTGGAAACACGTACAAAGGGTACAATAAAATAACCGTATAATTGATGCATTTCATGGTAAAGCATCAACAAGCGTCTATAAGCCAACCAAATCTTCGAAGGATAGGTAAATGCTTGTATCTGGTATTTAATACAACACATGCATTGACAATGAAAACTGTGTGACAAGACCTAATGGGCACAACAAATATTGCCACAAACGCCCAATGAATTTCATCAGTAGGCAATTGTTTAGATAAATGCCAAATGAAAAGAACATAAAGACTGTTACATATATTACCCCAGAGCGCCAAATTTAAATATTTTGTTTAACATGATTTAATTTATTTCAAACTAAAATTTACAATACTTGACTGAAATTTTTTTTCTCTTGTGGCGTTTTGTTTTTGGTAGAGTTTTGTAGGGTAAAATTTTATATCAATTACTCACTATTCTTAAATAAAACAATAAAACAAATGTACCGGAAGTTTTCAATTTAGAACCATTCCCTTGACTTTTAGTTTTGACTTTGTATGTTGCACGTTGCATTAGCGTGAGGAAACGCAACAATCTACAAATCTTCCGTTTTTTAGATTAATATCAATAAAAGAAAAACAATAATATTTATTGTCTGTAAGAAAGGTGTTTTTACCAATATGTCACGCATTATCAAGCGCAATATTTAAATCTACTGCTGACATCGTATTGTATGTTACCTTAAAATGTGATGGAACGAACCAGACAGGGTAGAGAAGACAGTCGAAAAAGCATCCATAAATTCCATCATTGACATAATACATTCTAATTTGTTTATACGGTGTATCTGTGTAACCATGTAATTCGTCATCTGAAAATGCAATCGACAATATGTAATACATGTATGTTAATAATAACTCAGTCTACAGCAATTAGTTAAGCCAACCCGGACAAGAAATTAGCGCTATGCATACAAAGATGTATTCTTTTGTTTGGAATGATTTGCAAAATCTTTTCAATAAACTAATTTTGGTATTGTCATGCCATTTCTTCCTAAAGGCCTGGTGAAGCCCTTTAAGACTTGTAGCTTGTTCCTTGTAGATGAATCGACATATAACAAATGTAATCTCCAGCATTTATTAGTGCAAATGTTATACCATATTTATCACCATTTTACATGATTAAAATATATTAGTATTTGTTTTGATAGTATATATCGAATGTATACAAACCAGGTGTTATATTTTCAATTTCTTTATCAACATTTCTCTTCGTTATGATATTGGTTGCTATTGTAAAAGCGGAGGATACGTAAAACTGTCCAGGTTCAGCTATTATTCTGACATCATTCCCTTTGAAATATTTCTCCAACGATTTATTCACTAGGCAAGATATCTACAAATAGAGGTAATGTTTTCTCTATTTGTTTGTATATTCATAATACATCTTTGAGTTTTACCTTATATAAATGTTTTAAACATCGATAAATAACTGTTGCATTTGATCACTCTCAATGTATGCTCTGTTGCTTTTTATTGGAAACAAATATTTTACTATATGACATTTTCAAAAATGCATAATCACATGATAATAGCAATACTTTGATTTTAGTTAATTTGCTTATTGGCGCAATTGCTTTAATAAAAGTTTTTGTCGACATTTTGTTCCATCTCTCTTATTGTTTCTAGAAGAGTATTGCATTACATGTAACAAAGTAAAAACAAAGTGTTACAATTGTTGAATAAGTCATTTATTTTTATTCCTTTTTTTTGTAACAGCCCAGTTGACAATCAACAATAGTAAATAAAAGTAGATATAATTGAATATAAGATAACTTTTTTTATTATTTTCCTGTGAATTGTTTTATTTTTAGAGCAAGGTAGTAAATTATATAAAAAATATATACAGTAAATATCCGGTTACATCGTGATCTTAAAAGATGTTGATATTTGTCACTGGGCAAATAGGAAATGTATATGATAAGTAAGTGATATATGTTTTATGCGAAAATTATTGCAAAAATATTATTATATCGTATTCGTCATCAGCCCTATATGCATGGTGTACTGACCAAATCTTACATGCCTGACATATCAAATATATATATATATATATATATCTGTTTAGCCAACAGTGATATTTGTTATACAGTTGCATTTCAGAGAGGTGAATCCAAATCAATCATCTACATTTGGTAAGTAACCATGATCATAGTCCGCTGAATTTTAGCATTTTTGCTAAATTTTCGCTTTTCTTATAGAAATTTGTGTTCAAAGGTAATATACAGATTTATAATAGTGAAATGTTAGTGGTATGCAACAGCAGTATCAGTATCGTCTTTCGTTATTAAACCTTGGATACGATGGGTTCATCGACCTTAAAGATTAAACATTTAGGTCAGATAAATGAAAACCATGTTTAATGACACTAGTTTTCGTAAAACTCGTAAGTAAAGATGGTAAATACAGCATCATTGTTTTTCAGTGTTGTAAGTACATGTTTCAAAAAAAGTTTATACTCTGGATTAATAATGGGTTCAAAATGGGCAGATAGTTCTATATTTTTATAATCTGCAACTGTACATTTATCATAGACGAAACATAGATATTTCTGTGACCACAGTTTATTGACATGTAACTATAAAAACTGATGTTGACTTTTTAATTAAAAAAAATAGTAAGGCCATATACTGTATTTAGCAATACGGATTGTACATAGTACTAAATATAACTAAATCTCGATATAACAACAATCTTATTCTCTTACGTACGCCTATACAGATATATCAGATATCAGTAGGATCCTAAGGGGTTGTTGTGTATAAATAAAACCCAATAAATCAGAACCCTTCATCAAATTAAGACATTATGCTACTTATAGTGAACTATTTTAATACCTCTTTAAATGTGTTTTTATCATTTTGGACGTTTCGTCCGGGATAACTTCCACCTATGTTCAGCAGTGTCATATCGAACCCCATAGCAAGTCCTATGTCAAATACATATCTTGACTCCTCTATAGCTGCTTCATAAGCTGCAGCTTCCTGGTAACCACTTCCAACATGGAAACTGTAATATCGTTAAATCTCTTAGACACCGAAAATATTCCCCCTTGATTTTGATATCATCACTTTCGTTAATCTCTTGTAATTGGTCCAAATATTTGGTTTTAATGTTTTAAAAAAAAATTACGCTGTATTAATATGTCCATTGCTTTCCTTCAACTAAGATTCCAATCATATTTTTTTAGACTTATATGATGACTTGTTCGAAATATGCATATACTCATTGATTTATGTGTGTGTGTGTGTGTGTGTGTGTGTGTTCCGGATGTCCATCCCCAACTTATTTTTTTACACATATATAGTAGTAGATATCAACCAATTGTAATGTTACGCTTTATGATTAAAATATCTTATGTAAATATTAAATGATAGTTTACTTTGAAGCTCTGTAAGTTGAATTGAATATCACAAAATTTATTTTGTTACTAACAAAATAAAGTAACATACATCCGATCCAATCTGGTTGATCTTCTCTTTGATTAGACTGTCAATTGAATGTTGCTTTTCCACTAACTCAACGTGGCTGTTTATGCTATCTTGGACATAGTACGTCATACTTCCTCAGGTTTAGCTTAAAAAAATGTTTCGTCGCAACAATATTACATTTTATATACGGATGCCTTCCAAAATACAATGCATAAGCTATCATATTTGCCATGGTTTAGTCTGTTTTTGAAAACCCGTCTGACGTAATAGCTCCCCCTATTTTGATACATCTGAAGCTTTATAAAAATTTACTGGTCCGGGACACAGTTATCGTTCTTTGATTTTCGTTGTCTACGAATAGAGTCCCTAGTGTGGACAGTGTATAACTTTTTTCATACACCTTTTAAATATATTTCTTGATATTTTATACCTAAAATAGTAAATAGGGGGATGAAATTGTATGTTAAACAAATATGAGACATGAATTTTTAGGTAAAGTAGTGATTTGGTCCAGTTTGAAAAGGTCACAAATTAGTATGTCTGAAGCTGTCAAACTGAATTACAGACCCCCTTAACATAATATTATCCATATTTTGAGTAAGAGCCGATAGACTTTTCTATAATGTTGATATAATTTGTCCCAAAAGTAGTACACTACACTGTAAAAATCTTTTTTTGGAAAGAGCAGGTGCGATTTTTTTTTATTTGCGTTTTTTGTTTAAAAGAAATGCACTACGAAATAACTGTGTTCTCGGGCTTAAGAGGTGAAATCAGTAAATGTAGATTCTGTACCTTGGCAACTTCTCTGAATGACTTGAGGGTATCAACTTGTCAAACTCAATGCAATTAAAGGATTTCCATTTTTATTTGTTTGAAATTCTGTAAAAATTTTAGCAATATATGGCTGACATAAGCATTTATAAGCCATTTCCATTTCTATGCATGAGGAGCTAGCCGACTTTCTATCTAATAGGTTTTCATGTTTTGATATTTGTGTTTCTATGGTTATTTCAAATTTTTATAATCATATGTGAACCTTGAATCTAGAGAAAAGTAGATTATCACAGTACAAATGTTCAAAATGTGTTGTAGTTATGGTCTTGGTCTAACTGCCTGTTTGAAGGAAATGAAATGTAATTAGCTATGAACATAAAAGTTGAAGTCCATTATAAAGAGTTCACTTAATCTGTATAACAAGTAACTAAAGAAGCGCTTTGAGTTTAAAAACATTCGTTGTTTGAATCTTAACAGTTATATGTAACGTCATTTAGAATATATCGATAGCTCATTAACTCAACCCTTATTATTTTAATCACGGAATAGCACAACTATGATTTTCCATATACACTTCTTTGGCGTTATTTCCAATATGTGATTCTATATGTTAAATACATTCTCATCTTGTTAGACTCGGGCGAATCAGAGACACAATTATATAATTGCCCTTACGTGTGTTTTTATTTGTTTTTAATTTGTTTCGTGCAGTTTAGTAATTTAAATAAAATTAATCATCGTTCATCCGACATCTCCTTTTATTCATATACAAAATGTCTTTGATGAGGTATTTTTCAATAATCACATTTCGTACATTTGTACATTAGATATAATCAACAAATTATTAGTGCACGAATAAACCTCCGCGTCAAAATAAAATTGAAAAGCTGTCGTGTTAAAATTCATACGAGGATTAATATTCAATTTGTTTAAGGAACATGAAAAATATTTAATATTAAGTACGTATCAATTTAAGCTTGTCCGTCTTTTAAAATCCTTTCATACGATCTTTTTACACCCACACCACTTACATACAATTTACAATGTTTCATGTTTCATTACAGTTCAACCATTATATTCCTTTAATGTGTATTTTATGTTTATCTAAAAAAATCTGTATACTTAAATACATTTTGTTTAATAAGTTATGTTTATTATGTTGATTCATTGAACGATAAAGTGATACTGGTATGACCTTCAACTACTTTATTTAAACTTGATGTCCATCATGAGAATTGAAAAGTAAACATTTGATTGCAAGTTTGAAGTCCACTTTGAGATTAGTTACTGGTAAATATAAAAATATGAAAACAGTTCAGAAAATCTCTAGGGTCTTATGATATTTTTGTTAAATTTGATATAAATTTCATTAAAGTTTCAAAATTACTCCCCGTTTAACGCATTCTAAATGATATATATCGTCTGTACAAAGATATTCCGAACACTAAAATGCTCAATATTTATTTGCTTCATATTACACACCAAAATTGTTATAACATAACTTTTTTTATTCAACGTAAATGACCCAAATGCGTTATATATATATATATATATATTTTTTTTGGTCTTTTGGAAATTGTTATTTTTGCTGTATGTAGACCCCTCTACCAAGAATTTGTTTTTACATGCACACGTATAAAAATTGCGGTTTTTATCCAACTCAATCATAGTTTTGAACGTTGTTTTCAATTTAGACTCTATATATATATTGATGAATTGAAATCGTCATTATCTTATATTAATTTTCTTATATATATATATATATATATAAACAAGTCTAAATTGAAAACAACGTTCAAACCTATGATTGCGTTGGATAAAAACCGCAATTTATATATATATATATATATATATATATATATAGAGAGAGAGAGAGAGAGAGAGAGAGAGAGAGAGAGAGAGAGAGATAACATTGCTATATATTATCAGCATTAACTATTAATAACGATCTGTAAAATGCTAAGTAAATATTGTAGATGATTCTTTAATGCAGTACATGTTCATTACATCTTTATGAAGTGCTTTCGCGATATTGATATCCATGTTGTAAACATTTCAATAAGTGGTGTATTTAGTAAAATTAATGCAAACCCTCATAAACTTCAAAACGGTTTTATTGTTAAGATAGTTCAGAGTGCATAGATCTGTCATTTCATTTCTATTGATTACTTGATAACACTGCGTCCTGACCTTTATTTATGTGATTACATAAAAAAACAGTTTTACTGTTCATACCAAAAAAACCCGCATATCTGGGTTAATGTTGCTGTATATGGCAAAATATTAAAGCAAAGATACAAGTTACCAAAATGTGTAGAACGTCTGAATGTTAATCTGCAAATAATCTAAACAAAGGAATAAAAATTCATTAGGGGTTGTTATATCTAACATTATAAGTGTCACGGGATTGCTTCCCTTAGAAATTGAGTAGATACTTAGTCAGCCGTAAGCGGTTGAGCTAAGGAAGTACTTCTTTAGCTCAGTCGGTTAACGCGCTGCCTTGAAACACAGAGGTCCCGGGTTTCGAGTCTCGGTGGAGACATGCGATTTTGCAAGTAGAATCATGCTCTCCGGTTACATTGGCGCCCAACAATAAAAACCCACGGTTAGAAGAAATACCTAGCCAGGTTAAAAATAAATATAAAAAAAATGAAGATATCATCAATATAGAGTATAATGACTCTTGAGTTGGGGGAAGTGTGACGGGATTGCTTCCCTTCGAAATTTAGTAGATACTTAGTCAGCCGTAAGCGATTGAGCTTAGGATTTTGCAAGTAGAATCATGCTCTCCGGTTACATAAGGAACACAATCGGCCACCCTACAAACTATTGTATTCTTCTACATGTTATACAAGATACAAAAAATGTTAAAACAAATCATATACCATGTTTGAAAAAAATATTTGGACGAGTACCGAGGTATAGAACTACTTGTTTAGACATACCTTTTCTTACAAGATTAGAGAGAAAATATGTCCCTTTTTCGTTGCTTTAACATCCGCATACAAAGGCCGATGATTATATGCCCCTTCCTACATTTTTCCGTCTTTATTCCTGAATCACTGCCTGTATAAACCTTATGCAGCATTAGTTATTTCATATAAATCCTCATTCACGAAACTAATAACAATCTTATATTGTAAATTCAGAAATTTTTGCGAGGTTTTATTATTGCGAATAATGCGGCTGGATGAGTATATCTGTATGCAGATTTACTTATTATTGCAATAAGTAATCTGGCATTTGTTTTCCATTCTTCAAAAATCGCAGTAATTCATGAATTAACAGTATATAAACTTACCAGTTCACTTGCTTATTGCCAAATAAATGTAAAATAAACTTTGTGTTACGAGACCCAATACAAACGGATGAATCAGTGCATTTATTTTCCTGTTTTAAAAAACATGTAAATCAGTTGTTGAACAAGAAAAATCTTATCTCTAGTCATTGGTCGTCATAGATGTGAACCCTAACAATTTTACTTTATCCGGTTTATGATCTAAAAACATATATATCTCGTATTAACTTTGTGTTCTTTCACAAGGCATGGAAACATTTACATTATCAAATCTAAAAGATCGTCCGTATTCCATCAGCTTTTTGTGACATGTCGTCCATATGTAAGTAATTTATTAGGTCTTTCCAGTTTTCTGTGGAAAGACCTATAATTTTGTTCTGATTATTATTATTTTCTTCCGCCAAATTTTGTTCTCGCGTAAAATTTTTGTTTCGCAAGATGTCGCTTAGATATTTCTTATATAGTATCATACAGTTTATGCGCTTTTTATTTT